GGAAGACACCGCAACCCATAAAGCCGGGTAGATCCTCGCTAGCCATAGAAACCAGATAGTGTAATTCACTACAGCCTTTGGAGCAACTCGGGCATTTGTCTCTGAATGAAAAATATCTACAAAAGCGAGATTTTGCTTCATCGTCACCATCGGTAGAATTAGGGTTGGGACAGGAGCATGATGATGATAACAAATCGCTCAATTTAATAACATGGATAACGTAAGAAACGACCGTCTTCTTCAACTCCATTGAACATATGTACAAGGACTCTCGTCCCGCCAGATCTTCCATGCCGCCGCCATCATTCCCCTTGATATAGCTATTGCTAACGCCTGCGTTCCCCTTTTGCTGGTGGTTGCTGCCGCCTTTCTTCATCTTGATCTGTCTGTTGTTGCTGCCGGGCCGGTTGTTCGTCATTCTAATTGCTATAGAGGTAGGTTTTTCGATTTCCCTAGATTCACGCTTCGCTCATTCACACATGCTTTCTTTATTCTAATCATCTTAATTATCAAATTTTGAGATAAAATCAATCTTAAAAAATTCAAAAGAGGATTTTATCGGAAGAAGTTTTCACTTTGGAATGACGAACAAACCTAAGGGATGAGAGATTGATCCAAATCGAATACTTACTAAAGAGAATTTTATCGGAAGAAGTTTTCACTTTGGGTCCTTGGTCCAAATCCAAGGGATGAGAGATTGATGTGTTCTTATTCCTTTTGTAATGGCTACGTAGTCAAATTTACTTTGTAGCGTTTTCTATCCCAAACTAATTTTATATTGACAAGGTCACGTTGGATGGCTAGGTTTGGAGCAAATTGGATAGTTAGATTCGAAGTATGTTGATGTAAGAAATGGACTAACACAAACACTCATCACATGACAGGACCCGCCCCAGAATTTCCCCTGAAACCGGGGCGGACCCCATCTTGGTGCCGACATCACACCGATGCCGGGCCCACTTACTAAAAACCCAAGACATCCTACCAAAAATTTGGCGGAGTCTCCACTGTAAAATGCTCAAGCCCAACAATATTCAACCTGCATAATTTACATAAAATAAATCTCAACTGCCAGCATGCTTTTAACATACAACAATCCAAAATAAAGTGGTCTCTGGCCTCAAGTAACAACCTAACATGGGCGATAACAGAGCATCTAACAGAATTTGTTTATAACAAACAGTTGAGTAGAAGGAATTTACACAAGTCCTATCTACGGATGAAATGTTTGGAGCTCGTAACCTGCTCGAACGCTTCCAAAAGCAACTACTGCTTGGAGGGCGCAAAACAGAAATATGTGAGTGGACAAAAATAAAGTTTGCATTTTAAATCAACATAATAACCCCACCATGTAAAAATAATGCTCTAGCATGCAGTTTCACAATTCAGAAACCAAAAACTCAGAACACATTATCCCAAAATCCAATAAATCTCCAAATCTCAAACCCACAACTCTGTTCCCAAAGATATGCAACTCTCATCAACCCGTAAACACTTATACAGGATTTTCGAACACTAACCCGCGTTCAGGGATGAGTAGTCCAACCGAGGGACGGAACTCCATAGCTCACACGCCGGCACTGCCAACGACACGTGTAGCTCACAAATCTCATAACAAGTCCTACGCGCGTAGACAGTATCATCACCCCACCGGCACTGCCAACGACGTGTTTGATAATACTAAGCAATATACATACTCTTCCCATACGCCGGCACTGCCAACGACACGTGTAGCTCACAAATCTCATAACAAGTCCTACGCGCGTAGACAGTATCATCACCCCACCGGCACTGCCAACGACGTGTGTGGGAAGCCTAGTAACTAGGGAATGGTACTCACCTAACATACTTATACATCTCACAACCATCCCAAAAACTCATATCCTTCCACAATCTCACCACAACAACCTCTCATACTCTATACACAGACAATATAGACAGCCATCCCAAAATCCATATCAACATAAACATCATACTCAAATATATAAGTCTATACTCAAAATATATAGCCAAGATATATAAACATATTCAAATCCATCAACCAAAGGCTTATTAAATCAAAGTCACCATCATTTAAAGTATATGCACAAAACTTTCATAATTAAAAACCATGCATATGCTTAAAACAAAGTCCACTCACAAGTAATCCCAAGCTGCCCGGCCCCGTGAGGGTCCCGCCTGCTGCGAGTGATCAACCGAAGTACCTATTCCAAGATACAAATCCTTGATTAACAACACGTACTTCCAAAACGGAAATTCACGAAAGGAAATACTTAAATCCCCAAGTTCCCGGTGCGCTCACGTCCGTCACAGGTTTGGGAATCGCTTCCAACCGTACGGTTATCGCGAATTCCCAAACTTCAAATTATTGAATCGGAACATCCGGGGCTCCGATTCACGATCCGCGAATTCCTACAGGTTTCTAGGAGTACCTAGATCAACATACTTCAGTTTGGAAATGATCCAACGGTTAGAACTTATCGAACCCGGATAACGCACAATATGCGAAATCCGTTCGATAGTCAAACGACAACCAAATTGAGATCCGCAAAATCCTACGCACTCATGGCAACCTAAGGATCTCATCAAGATAAAAAGCAACTTCACCCGCTTTGCCCACAAGCCATCACAAGCGCCGGCAGCGGGTGGGTGTGTAGAGAAATTTTCGGCGACGGAAAATCTCCAAATCACGAGCCACCCTTCCT